AGGGAAGAGCTGGGCACCATGAGTCTGTGCTTAGCCTTCACTAACTTGAGACACTGATGGGCAAGGTCACACCACAATATGGACCAGCGGAGCTTGCTGAAAGGACCAGCAGCATTGCCAGGGATAAAAGAATCATAAATCCCTGCTTTCAGACTTATGAGTCATGGGAGACTCCCACTTTCTCCGGAGCAGCTGTCTCCAAAGAGGAGTGCATGCACCCTGGGGGTACAAAGAACAACCCATTAGGATGCAGGAAGAAAGTATATTTGGTACCATTAAGAAATAAAGTAAAATCATATTTTTAAATCAGTGTTTATTTAATCTTTATCTTGTCCTTTTAAAATGTCTATTCATGTGTATGTTTTATAATCTACATGTATATAACTTACGAATAAAGGGAGACATCTCTGCCGGAGGGGCTGGAAGTGACTGTGTCCTGCAGCCAAGGGAGGAGCACAAGTGGTCCTGGGGACAAGGCTGGTGTGAGAGGAGATCCCACGTCATGCCAGCATGAAGGCAATGGGGATGGGTGGTGAGCCAGGCTCCGGGGGCTGGCAGAGAGGCAGAGGGGATGACATTGCAGCAGGACAGGCAGGTTGGGAGCAGCACCCACATCAAGGACTCAGCGAGGGTGTGCACAAGAGGAGTGGAGTGCACAGGGTGATGCAGAGGGCTAAGAGATGTGAAAATGGGACAGAGGAGAGGCGATAGGTACAGGGATGTGGGGGACACTGGGGCATGGAATGGATGCTGGGTATGGGTGGTGTAAAGGAAGGGTGAGAGGGTTTGGATGAAGGGGTACAGAGCAGAGGTGCAGGGTGAGGCCCACAGAGGCAGGACATGTGTGAGAAGGTGTGCGCAGCCGTTCAGAGCCTGAGGCTCCATGAGCTGCCTGAGAACGAGGAGGCCCAACATGGGGAAGCTCGGCAGCATCCTGGAGGAATCCCTGAGCTCATCCCATCCCGCCACTTTCTCCTGCAGGGAAAGACCTCACCAGCTGTGGCCTGGTCAATATGGACCACACCAGCCTCAGCACCCTCCTCAGTACCTGCAGTGACGTCAGGGAGATGAGGGGTGCGGGAGGTAGATCCTCCATCAAGCCCCTGCCATCAGGATGAGAGCTTCCAGACAGCTGTTCTGGGGGTGTTTGGGATGATTGGTGCTCTGGCAGGTCTGCATGTGTGACCAAAGTGCTCCAGTGCTCCAGTGCCACCCCCATGGAAAGAGGAGGTTTGGGAACATTTGTTCAGGCTGCAGCCACATTGCTGTCCCTGCAGGCAGATAAACTGAAGTAAAAATTAAGTGAAGCAGAACCAGGGCAGTGACTGTTCCTCTGTACTTCCCGTCACTGCCAGAAAGACATTGAGGTACTGGAGTGTGTCCAAAGATGGACAATGGAGCCGGGGAAAGGTCTGGAGCACAAGTCTTATGAGCTGTGGGCACAGAGACTCCTGGCACGATGGCCCAAAAGCGGCCCCAAGCACCACTCTGAGGAGGGGCCAAGCACTGGATAATGGCCAGAAAAGACACTTCTTAATTTTTTTCCATTCACCAAGGAAATTTTAAGATCTGAAACTCAGCAATAGGAAGAGATGTGGCCTTAGCCGCGTTTTGGAAAGTTGGGAACTAGCAGCCATCTGCAACAGACAGTCCGTTGGGAGCTTGGGCTGAGCTTGTGGCAAGCAGCAGGAATTGCTGCAGAGAGGGTGAATGGGACCAAGGCATCCCGGGATAACTCAGGCTGGAAGATATCTCGGAAGGTCTGTAGTTCAGCCCCTCACCACAACAAGCCCCAGCTTTCCCAGACTTTCATCCAGCGGGATCTTGCAAGCCTTGAAGATGGTGACTGCATGGCTTCAGTGAGTCCCTCTCTGGCTCCCACTTCGCTGCCAGTCCTGCTTGTTCCTGATGGGTCAGTGCTGGAGGATCCAACTCAGCTCTGCTGTGATGAGGGCTCCTCCCTCTCCCTACCCACCTCTTGCTCCCAGATGAAGAAATGGTGACCCTGCCCCTTGGCTGGGTGCAATGCTGGGGAGTGCTGAGGTCCTCATAGAGGTGATTCGTGCTCTCATACATCACCTGTCCATGGAGGCAGCATGGGGGTGGGGTCTCCTACCCACCTCACCAGGACTCACAGAGTCTCATTGACACGCACCCAGTGGCCTCCGAATTCCTTCCCACTGCTCTTGCCCAGCCAGATGGCTGCAGGCTTGACATGCAGATGGGGATGTGGTTATAGCCCCATCCCCTCCTGCCTCCCCCACAGACACCTCTCCGAGATACCCCTGATCAGGGTCCCCACACTCCACACCAGTGCTCAGCTGGCTTTCTTTACCTCTGCAATCCCATCTCTGGGTCCCAGCCATTTCCCACAGGGGGGTTTATAGCTGCTCCTGGCCACAGCCACATTGTGGACCTGTGGCTTAGATCAGCAGAGGTGGTCTCCGTGGTCTTCATTCCCAGCAGAGCCAGCCCCCACCCCAACACTCAGAGGGGGAACTCCCAGCAGCTCTGGGGCTCTAGAGCCTGTGGTGGGGCAGGAGCACCAACCACCCCATGGAGAGTGCACAGGTCAGGTTGGCTGTGGCAGCTGGGGATGTCCCCCAGCCCTGTGGGTGAGCGGTCCAGCCAGACCGTGCCCCAAAGTGCCATGAAATGGCACCTCACGCTGCACCTGGGCACTCACGGCCGGGAGCACCGTTCCCCTGGGAGCAGCTGGAGATGCTGGGTCTGGTGGCACATGGGGACAGGACCTAGCAAGGACTTGGCCCATCAGATGAGGTTGGCCCCTCCATCAGTTGGTGACAGGGACAATGCAGGGCAAAAGAGGAGCTCGACTTCTTCAGAATGGGACCAGTTTGTCCCAGTAACTCTTTGGCCCAAAATCCATCCCTCCAACCCCACATTCCTGCAGGGCAAAGGGCAGCAGTAAAAGATACTGTTACTGGCCCTGGCACAAGCACTTGCCCCAGTTCTCCTGGCACCATCACCTGGTGGGATTACTGCTCCCGGGGGTGAGTGTTAAAACTGAGAAGCAATTAATGAGCACAGAGCTCCAGCAAATTTAGGGAGCAAAGAAAATGCATACGTCCTGGTTTTGGCCCAAATCAGTGGAAGAGGGCATAGCCAAGACATTCGATACCATCTTACATTTATGGCCGGGGGGGGGAAAGGGACTCTCTCACTTCTGAGAAGAAGGGACATGGTTTCCAGTCAGGAGCAAGTGTGATGGAGCAGTCCGGGTGGGGTGCTGCCAGCTGTGGTCACAACACATCACATTGGTCAGGCTCTGTGAACCTTTTGCATGTAAATCACCCTTCTTTCTTTTTGTACACTTTGGTTATTAATATTGTTATTGTTCAGTTTCTCTATCTCATTGCTGTTTTCAGTAAATTCTTATCTCAACCTGTAATTTTCACCTTTTTGTGTCTCCAGTTCTCAACTCCATCCCTGGAGCAGGAAGGGGGAGGGGAAGAGAGGAGGAACAGGAGCAAAGGGCCGAGGAAATTAAGGAATAAAGAAAATTTAAGAGATAACTATTCTGCTGCAGATGACACAGCTGGCCCCTGCCATGCTGTCACCCATCTCTGCCAGCACCTTCCTGCTCAGCCATGGTGGCAGTGGCAATTCCTGCCAGAGCTGAGCCTGGTGTCCCTGGCATGCCACACTCCAGCGGCTCGCTCTCGGCATTCCTTGGGCAGGCTCGGAGCAGGTTGACAGCCTGCCAGGGTACCACGGATGCCGTAACAGAGCTCCCGCTGCGAGTGTGTCGGCTGGGGCTGAGCCCAGCCCCGTGGCACAGCAGTGGCAGTGGGAATCCCTCCTCTGAGAATCAGGCAGCACATGTCAGTCAGCAGGATCCCGGACAGAAGGTCCCATCCAGCATCATGTCATCGTGTTTGTGCCAAGGCATCAGGTCTGTGCCTGGAGCATGGGGCCAGAGATCAGATGCTGAGATTTTGCAGAGCTGTCTGCCTTGGCATTCTCTGACTCCACAGGGGAAAACCTCAGGCAGCCTGGGAGCTCTGCAGCACATGGAGACACTGAGGATGACAACCTGGTATCCCTGCTGGACATGGCTGTTGGCATGACTAGAGTGTCCATGTGGCATCCCTGGGGCTGGCAGCTGCAAGGGCACATCTCCACCAAGCCCCCACTGTCCTGCAGCCAGATGGGACATTCGTGGTCTGAAGGGATATAGGGGTTGGAAAACAAACCCTACAGATGTGAAATTAATTCAGGATGTGGGAAGAGGTTTTGCAAGGGAGCTTGCCCTGTAGTGACCCAGAGATGTTCCTCTAACTGGGAAGGGAGGGGGTGGTTTGGCCATACACAACTCTAATCAAGGCCAGTGGCTGCAGCTGAGGTCTGACAAACTCAGCACTCACAGCCAGGTGCTACAGCTGTGGAGCAGGCAGGGCTATGACGCCTCCTGCCACCAGCCCAAGCATTACCCCAGTAACAACATGACCCACAAGTGGGATTTCCCAGCCCCTCATCCCCAACACAGAATCACAGACTGCTTTGGGTTGGAAGGGACCTTTCAAGGCCATGTAGTCCAACCCCCCTGCCATGGGTAGGGACACCTTCCACCAGACCAGACTGCTCAGACCCTCATCCAACCTGGCCTTGAACACTTCCAGGGATGGGGCAGCCACAACTTCTCTGGGCAATCTGTGCCAGTGTCTCACTACACTCACAGCCAAAAGTTGCTTCCCAATATCCCATCTAACTCTGCCCTCTGGCAGTGGGAAGCCATTCCCCCTTGTCCTGTCCCTCCAGGCCCTTGTCCCAAGTCCCTCTCCAACTCTCTTGGAGCCCCTTTAGGCACTGGAAGGGGCTCTAAGGTCTCCCTTCGGGATCAGCGATACCGGGGCGGTCCATCAGCGGAGCAGCAGGAGAGGGCGGGGCTTTTGGGGAGGGGGCGTGGCCCATGCGAAGGCGGAGCCCCCGCCCCGCCGGCCCCGCCCCCTCCCGCAGCTGCGCGGCCCCGCGCCCGCCGTGCCCGTGGACGATGGTGGCGGCCCGGGGCGCTGCCGCCCGCCGCGGAGCGCTGCTGCTGCTGCTCGCCGCCCTCGGATCCTGCCCTTTGCGCCTCGTCCGTGCCGGTGAGTGCCTCTCCGTTCCCCCGCCAACCTACGTCCATGTCCTCTCGCTGCCCCCGCGGATGCTCGTGTTCCCTCCCACGACGAACCCTGGTGCGGTTCCCCCCCCTTCCTCCACCATTATCCCCACTCCCACGACGGATCAGCATCCACGGGTGCTCATGTTCCTGCGTGGAAGCAAGGTAGGAAATGCCCCCCCACGTAGCCCCAGTGGGGTTTCTCACACCCCTCAGCGCTCCCTGGGGACGGGCAGCGCCGCACCGTCACCCTCCCGCCCGCTGCTTCAGGCGGGGACCTGGCAGCGGCTGGCAGCGGCGCAGGGCTGGTCCCCAGCAGCTGTTTGGTGGGGCTGGAGGGACCCTGAGATGTTGGCGGGGGGCAGGAGGGAACCACAGATATGGATCTTGAAGTGGGGAGACAGCATGGAGTCATGGGAGCGGCCCACAGGAAGCACCTTTATTGGCAGGAAAAAATACTAAAAGAACCACAAAACCCCCCATCAAAACAAAGGAAAAGCCAAATAAAGGTGCTGCTGTGAGCGAGCCATCCAGGGGAGCTGCCGGGAGGGCTGCTTGGGAGGGAGCCCTGTTTGCCCACCTGCCTCATCGCCCTGGGAGTCGCTGCAGCATTGCCCCGCGGGGCTGCTCCGGTGATGGTGACATTTCTGCTCTCTGCTGGGGCAGAAGGAATGGGTGAACTTCGCTCCCTCCCCACAGCACCACCCTCAGCCACCCTGCTTGTCTACTGAAGCATTGTTTTGGGGCGTTCAGGTTTGATTTGTTTGAGTTTCGGGGTCTGAGTTAGGGCATTTCCCCTCCCGAGGGGTCTGGCACTGGATATGCTCCGTGTCCCCTCGCTCTGTGCCCACTGCTGGGGTGTGCAGGGCTGCGATGGGCAGAAACACCACCCCAAAAACCCCAACTGGTCACCCTGCCTGCGGGGAAGGCTGGGGCTGCCCACCACTCCCACACCGGGGAGGCGCAGTGTCCCGACCTGTGGTACGGCCTGTCTCGGGCAGGTGCTTTCTGCCTCGCTGGCGCAGGAGCCGGGAAGGGCCTCCTGGCTCCCAGCATTGTTTGCGGATCCAATATTGTTTCCTTGAGCTGGCTCCCGGCGGGGCAGACGCTGGGCAGGCGGACGCCGGGCAGGCAGCCTGCTGTCAACCGGGGCCCAGGCGGCCTCGCTGTGCTCCCGCCTGCTCTGAGGGACAGCGGGAAGGTGCAATAATTGTTAAATCTCCCAGTGGATCAAAACATCCAGATGCTTCCATGCTGGGGCATTGGAGGTGGACGTGGGGATGCTCCTGCACTCCGCCTCTTCCCACGAGCCAAGGCTGGGGTGGCCCAGCCAGGGGTACTGCTGACGCAGGAAGGAGAGCCGGGCAGCTCCAATGCAGCCATCAGTGATCCGGCACAGTCTCTGCTGCTCTCGAATTTAAGGGGTTGGTGTGGGATCATCGGGGCTGGCAGTGCTGCTGGGGTGCGGTCCCTCGAGGGGCTGGTGGAGTGGCTGTGCCTGGGGGCTGTCTAGGGGGGTAGTTTCCCCTTCCCCTCCTTTCCCAGCCTTGCGGGTGCTGCTGGAGGTGAGACGAGCGCGAGGGGCCTGGCTCTGCAGCAGCAACCTGCTCCAGCACTGGGATATTGCATGCTCTTGGCGCATGTGGGGTTGGGATTTTTGGCTCAACCTCTTTGCCCTGTGAGATGCTGGGGCAATTTGTCTTTGAGCTTTTCCTGATAGCAGCATCCCATTGCCGGGAAGTCGAGGTTGTGCAGCATATGTCAGTGGGGAGCTCCAGGCGGGTTTCTCCTAGAGAAACATCCCTGGGATGCTGGACAGGGAAAGGAGTCACTGTCCCGCCCCCACCACCTTCCTCACTGAGCACAGTGGGGCACAGGAAGCGTTGACTGTTTCTTCCCACTGTATAATTGCCCTTTCTGGGTAAGTGGGGCAGAGCTTGGCTTTCTCTGGGGACAGCTGTGAGGTGGAGATGGTAGGGCCAGGGGCAGCTCCCGCCTGTGGTGTGCTGGTGAAGCTGACTTCTGAAGGGCAAGGAGAGAGTGGGGGAGAAAGTCCTGGACCACCATACCTGTGTCCTCCTGCCTCTGTGGCTTCATCAAAGTTTTTTCAGGTGGGGATTGGCATCTCCTCTTCCTCGTCCAGCACTGTGATCCAGAGCCCCTGCAGCAGATGCCATCTCCCAGGATGCAGCTGCACATGGCACGGTGACATCCTCATCTTGCCGTGGGCCTGATCCGAGCTGGAGGAAGGGCAGCAGTGCTTTGGAGGTGCTGCAGGGTGGTTTAGGTTTGCTTGCTGCTCCTCAACTGTTTTTCTCCCACGTGTCCCTATCCAGTGCACCTAACTTTGGGAAGAGCCCTGGCCTCGCCTCATTTTATGGCTTCATTTCCTGGAACTTGAGTGAGAGCCAGACTCTCCCCCCTTCCTAAGTAATTGAGTTGACAAGTTTTATCTATTATTTTTATTATTATAAAAAGAAATGTTTTACAAATGCGATGATGGGCTAGAACCCCATCTTTTAATAATCCTGAACCTCCCAACCCCACTACAACAGTCAGCACTTCACATCCCAAACATCCAGAGAAGCTACTCAGCACAGCCCGAGTGGTTCTTTCCAGTCCAAGTGACCCATTTGGCCGCATGTGACCTGCCAACTCCACATTGCTGCTCCTACTTGTGCTGCTCTGCCGGGATGCAGGTGGGAACATGGATTCTGGTGCTGATACCAACTGCCCCAGCTCTGCGGTGGTGCAGGGACTGCTCAAGGTCCCCAGCTGGGCACGGCAAGGCAGGAGCCATCCCCTGGGAAGTTCCCATGGCTCAGCCTGTGGGTGAGATTGTCCATCTCTTGGCTTTTCCTTTGTCTGCTTGGCCATTGCTGCACTGGGGAGGCGTGAGGGGCACAGTGGGCACAGTGGCTCCACAGACCCCCATGCTGACCATTGAAACTGGGACAGCTGTTGGGAGCAAGGCAGCAGGGCTGGTGCTGTGTCTGTGGTGCTTGCAAGGGCCTGGCTGCCCTGCCGAGCTCCCTGGGGCTCTACCCGGTGGGTGAGCAAGGGGTGGTCTCTGAGCACCCCAGCATCCTGTGGATCGGTCTGCAGAAAGCAGACCCAGCTTTTTCTTGAGGCACAGTGAAGGTTGTCCAAGTCCCCCCAGGAGCAGTTGGCAGCAGTGGGCAGTTGTTCTGCTCAGCCACTCCATCCCTTTGAGCCCCTCATGGCTGCATGTCAGGGTGTCCTCTGCCACGCTGGTGCAGACCAAGTGTTACCCCACACTGCAGCTGGGGTGCTGCTCCCCTAGGAGCTGTGTGCCGCTCTCAAGTTTAATTTTCCATGCAGTTCTATTCTTGGAGACAATGTCCCCACCTTGTTCTCTAGGGTTACATTTGCTGAGCTGGCACCTTTCCATGGGAAAGGACCTCTAGTGGGGGCTAGATGTGGGGGAGCTGGGACATGGGGCACAGGCATCCCGTGGGGCTCTGCAGGCCAGTACCCATGCCAGGGACCTGGGCAGGGCTCCCTGCACAGGCCTGAGGAGGGCGAATGGGTGGAAAGAGGCTCCTAATACCTGTGATCCCAATTGCAGAATCAGCATCAAGGAAGAGTTTATGGAAGAGACAGGGTGAAAGTCCCTCACCCTTTCACTGCAGCTGGCTAGGGACCCACAAACCCATGTGCATCTCAGCCGTGCCTTGTGGGTGCTGGTGCAGGGAGAGCTAGAGCTTGGGCAGGGAGGCTGAGGTCCTGGAGCCTGGGTCATGTGTAGGGTCAGGTCCTTTGGATGTGCATTTTCCCTGGCAGCTCTGGAGATGGGTCCCCCACCCCAAGGACCCCTCAGTCCCCAGGGGTGCTCGGGTTCTTCCCACAGCACAGAGGAAAGACACACTGGGGACGTTTGCCTGAAAAGTCTCTTCTGGGCCATGGGGGTATTAAGGGAGGTAATCGGCTTAACCCTGACAGGCGCTTCCGGGTGGGAGCGGGGAGAGGGGGGTGACGGTGTGATCAGGACACTGGGGACAGGGAGGTTGGTAGTGGGTGCTGGAGACTAGAGGGGTGATGGGGATGTTTGAGATAGGAGGGGTGTTGGGGGTATCAGGGGTGACAGTGTAGCAGGGGCAATAGGAACAGGAAGGGTCATGGGATGGACAGTGTGCTGGGCACAGGAAGAGATGTGTGGCTACACTGGGGACAGGAAGGGTCATAGCATGGTGGGGACAGTGGGAATGGGAAGGTTGATGGGGGCTGCTGGGGGCAAGAGTGTCAATGGGGTGATGGGGTGATGGGGATGTTGTGGACAGGAGGGGTGGTGGGGGTGCCCAGAGACAGGAGGGGTGATGGGATAGCCTCTCCTCAGGTACAGAGTGCTGGGTCCCTGGGCGCAGGGTACAGTACCTGCCATCAGTCTCAGCCCTGCATTAATTCCACAAAAACAGTACCCCGGTGCTTGGTCTCCACAGGAAGTTCCGAATCTACTCAGGGGGACAGTGGCTCCCCTGGGCCAGCTGCCCCCCCAAAACCCCAGGGCCTGGCCCCAGCACCACTGCCAATACTGGGGCGTCTCCCTTCCATGCCTGGACGTTAGCCAGTGCTGCTGCCACAGAGTGACCAGTGCTCCGAACGGCAGCTGCAGGCCTGTAATTAGCCACTTTGTGAGCTAATGAGAATTGCAACGGGAAGAAACTGGCCATTAAGTGCCTGGAGCGAGCTTTGAATTGAAGGAAGGAAACATAGCTGGAGGAGGTCCAGGTCCCTGCCTTATCCTGTCCTGGAGCACCACGGGCTGGCAGCTGCCCATCTTAACCCGTGCACACCATGGCGTGTGCTGGGGTCCCTCCTGCACAGATGGAGGACGGCAAAGCCTTTGTGGGGGGAGATTTGCTCTTTGGGTGGGAACCCATCTCTCTAGATGGGTGACATGAGAGGTGACATATCAGCTGAGGGGTGGCAGGGACCATGGCTCATGGTGGAACAGGGGTCCCCTGG